TTCATCAAATGATGTATTTGATGGATCTTGATTAATTATTGTTGGTGATTCATTTGTTGAAGTTTTATTCATTTGTATTGATAAACCAACATTTGACATGCGTTCACTAACACTTGATTCACGTGATGCATTACGATATTGTTCATAACTAACATTTCGTGAATCTTCATGAGAATTTGTCATGGACGAAGTACCAACTGTATTTATTGAACTATTCACTCCACTACTAGTTGTCTTTTTACGTAATAATTGTGAAGCATTTTCACGATTACGTTGACTATTTTCACGTTCTAATTCCTAGAGATAAATCAAATGAAAAAGGATACAAATATTTGTACAAGAATGTTTTTTTTAATCTTACGCGGGCTGATTGACGTTGCATTGAATAAGTTGAACCACTTTGAGATGAACCAATTTTACCTTTGAGTTGTTGAACTGGGTCAGCAGATAGTTTACCAGTACTAAAGATTTAAAAGAAAAAACGTTACATTTTTGTTTTTAAATAATAAATATGGTTATATCTGAGGTGAGGAAGTTTTTTGTTTTGAATAAATTCAGTTCGAAACGAACATTCATTTTAAGTTATGCTTTCCGTAGACATGTATCCTCATTCTGAAAGTGTTACAAGTACTCAAATAAAACATATTAATGTATGATTTTGAACTTCTTAAATAATTCTCGTAAGAAGGATGAAATTAAGATTCGTGCAAAAAAAATTTAGTTCATTTTCTTACCGTCCACCACCAAATGAACCATCTTCCTCAGGTTTCTTTTCAATGTCTGATCCTTTTGGCCAGGTACGTTGTGGAGCTAAACTCATTGTCTATCAAACCAAAACAAATCATTTTAATCATTTATTAATTTTAATAAAAGATATCTTACAAATGGTTCTTGATTTCGTTTATCATTTGATTGTAATTGTCTTAATGAATTAACAGTAAAACGATTTTCTGTTCTATCTTCTTCATTTCGATTTGATTGTTGTTTAATTCCACTACCACGCTCATCCTCATACTGCTGTTGGTCACTTTCACTATAGACATTACCAATAACAGTACCACAATTTTGATCCCGACATTGTTGCCGTTCATGCTCTTGTGCATATTCTGGTTGCTCATTTTTTAAATATTCTTGTTTCAGAATTTCATCAATTGTTGTTGGTTTAGTTGCGACTCGATGAATCACCCATGCAGCCTAATTCAGATTTTTTTAGAAAATAAATTTATTCGAGAACTTCATCAAATAATAAATCAGTTTTAAGATAAATCTATTCATACCAGAGAAAGTCTAAGGAAATTCCTTTACATAAGTCTTTCTTCTTAATTTATAACCATTTTAGTGAGTATTTAAAAAGAAAACTATATCGATTGCCTTCTCAGGTCACCTCACCTCCAAAATTAACTTAATAGAATTGGCGAAAGTATGAGACTGTCTAGCGCAATCTATTTTGACATATTAATATAATAACAACTGGCGATGACAAGCTTTTGACCACCAGAACGAGACATATGTAGGTTTGTAGAGAAAGACTTTGTCGATCAAATGGTGAATGTAATGTCAAGTCCTATTGCGTATCGCTGAGATCTTAAACGATATGGAATAGAACTTGATAATACATAAACTATCTGATAGAAGCAATATTCCTCTAGAAACCTACATATATCTCACATTGGGTGTCAAACACATGTCGTTATCGTTTGTTGTTATATTTACGTCAACTCAATAAGGAATACTAGCCAGTCTGATACTTTCACTGGTGTTATTGAGAACTTTATTTATGCAAACTTTGAAGTCGATTTTGCAGATAATCTGAGGTGGAACACAAAATTTTAATAAAGTTTCATTGAAATAACGATGTGAATCAAAAAAACGTATAGTAAAGAATCGTTTTAGACTTTCTGTAGTCGTAATATGACTTACCTGATAATTTCAGATTCAGCTCAAAAGTAATTTATCATTTTCCGAAGTTCTCTCATTAAATTTTTAGTTTTCTACTTACTTCTCTTAATTCTAAAACATCTCGAATCATAAAACAAATACGTGCTGATATTTTCTGTTCTTTAACAATAATCTCTAATTCATGATAATATTTTTTCAAACTTGATTTATTTTTAGGCTACAAAGAGAAAAAAAGGCATTTCAACAACAGTAAATACAAATAATCTATTAAAATAAGCATACTTTTTCATTAGCTTTCGTATCAAGTTCATGGCCAACAGTCCGTAAAAGGGCACATAAACATACAAGATTCTCTTCGTTAGTTTTATCACGAAGTAAAGATTGAATACAATCATAAATGATAGCATCAGTTAACATTTGTAATTTAAATAATTCACCAATAAAACTAAAACAAATGAGCATTAGTTTTTTTCATTTTATATCGTATTGAGCTTAGAATATAAAAATCAGCAACAATACTAGACAAAAGTAGGTACCCCTCCAGTCTTAGTCTCTATAGGAATTAAATGCTTGAAAACTCTTTTGTAGATACCCTATAGATAATGTAGCTCAACAGTAACATCAGCCCTGAAATCGCTTAAGCCATAACAGAGTTATAGTAGATGACCTCTACAGTCACTGTAAACCGTGTAACTCGAGATTAGATAAGTTTTTTTTAGTCGTCCAATTCCTCATTTTGTAATCCTGCATTATAGCTATTTCGGGTATGAATTTTATCGAAACTCATCAAGCTATTGACGAACTAGATCATTTTTACTCGAAATATGGATATGCATAAAAACCATAGATTGCCATTGAACGGTCAATAACTCAGCAAGAGTTTGATGGATTCATCTAACTTTTTTACAAGCAAACATCTTACTAAGCGGAAACGGCGCATCGATGATCATCGCAATCTTGTTAGAACTCTGGAGTCTTCATTACCAGAGCAAATGAGATCATCTTTTGCGAAATGAAGAATCATGAGTTGGACTACAGTTTCATGATGAAAGATTGATAATTACTCATGCATTGTCTGAAGAAAAACATAAAAGTGAGCGAAGCTAGTTTGTTTTTGCTATTTTCCTACTAAACGTAGCATTCGTCATTACATGTCTAGATTTCACTAGGGAACCCATTTTGGACTATTCAGAATTCTTAAGAAAAAAAATAATCTAGCTTCCTTTGTCGACGCAGGTAGTATTGGAACTGAAATTGATGAGAATTATATTTAAAACTGTTCCAGATAATTTAAAACGTGGAAATTTCTAGTAACTGCTTTCTAAAATTTTAAAACACGGTTTTTCTGATACATTATACAAGCCATATACTTTTATATCATAATTTGCTATAAAATCCCCGTGGAGAACTATCGATGTCTAGAATAGAATGATTTCTGTTGTTCCACAAAACTTGAAAGCTGTCTAAAACGGGTTTTCTAGTGGAATTTGGAGATGTAACGATAAATGATGCCTTTAATATGAAAATAGCAACAATATAGGTTTACTCATTTTTATGCTTTTCTTCAGGCAACATATAACTATTTATCAACCTTTCATCATGAAATTGTAGTGCAACTCATGATTCTTCATTCCTCAAAAGATGATCTCATTTGCTCTAGTAATAAAGACTCCATAGTTCTAACAAGATCGCGATGGTCATTGATGTGCCATTTTCGTTTAATAAAATATTTGCTTGTAAACATTTCAGGAAACAAAGAAACACCTATTGTGCAACACTTCCTGAAAATTTCAGATGTATCCATCAAACTCTTGTTGAGTTATTGACTGTTCAACGGCAATCTATGTTGCTATGTATAACCATGTTTCGGGTAAAAGTGATCTATTTAGTTCATCAATAGCTTTATAAGTTTCGATAAAATTTATACCTGAAATGGCTAGAATGTAGAACTACAAAATGAAGAATTAGACGACCCAAAATAGTTATCTAATCTCAAGTTACAGGAGTTCACAGTGAATGTAGATGTCACCTACTGTAACTTTGTTCTGGTTTGAGCTATTTTAGGGCTGATGTCGCTGCTGAGCTGCATTATCTGTGGGATATATGCAGAAGAGTTTTCAGGCGTTTGGCTCTTATAGAGACTAAGACTGGAGGAACAGCATACTTTTGCTTAGTAATGTAAGTTCAAAATGGTTAAGAATAGCGCTCATCGTGATAGCCCTATACCCTATTGAGGAGACATTTGTTTGACATTAGTTTACAGTTCATGAATATACTTACATAATATTTCCCAATTTTCTTCGTTGAGCTTTAATAATATTTTGTTCTAATTTTTCTGCTTGTTCTTTATGCTTTTTCTCATCTGTTATAGCCTCAACTTCAGTTTTTCGTTGTTCATATCCAATTTCTTGTCTATAATCATTTTGAAATACGTTTTGACAACGTGTGAGTAATATTTGACGAAAATAACATGTTGTTATTTTACCATCTTTACCTATTACAATGACCTGTTTCTAGAAAAAAAAAAGATTTTAAATTAATTATAGAAATAAAAAAGTTTACTTTTTGAAATTGTTTACATAATTTGGCATATAGAAAACTAAATACTGGTTCATCAACAGCTTTAGAAAAAACTATTGTTATCATTCCTTCTAATCTTTCATAACTATCAATTTCTAATTTTTGAAGTTTTTTTTGTAATTCATCATATGTTTGTGGTGTAATATTATTTAATATTGATTCGACATCGCGTAAAATAACACTATTAGCATCAATTTTACTTTGATCAATTGGTCTACAAGGATTTTCATTTCGATTACCAAAATTAGGTTCATTTGTTAAATAAATGCCTGTTTTACGTCTTGAATCACTTGACGAATTTTGATTATTTGGATAACCTGTTAATGATGGATGATTACTTGATGATAGTTGTCGATGAAATGAAGGATTTATACATCCTTGACTATTTGTACCTGTATATGAATAATGTGGATTATTATTATCATGTCGGCTAAGAACAATATCAAGCTCAGGAAGATTTTGAGGAATTGGAAATGGCCCATAATTTTCACGTATACGTAAAAGTTCATTACGATCGTAACGTAAACGTTGTTTAGGTAGTGCTTGAGATTTTGCATTATTTATTATTATGGTTGTTGATGTTTGTCGTGGTGTAACAGATTCTAATGATGTTGTTTCTGATAATGGTGGTGTTGATTGTGATTCTGGTGGATTTGAATTGATTTCTTTATTGAGTACAGGTATTGGATCATTAGACTAAATACTCATAGAGAAAAGAAAAACATAGAGTTTTGACGAATACCTGGGGATGTGAGTGTGATTATGGATGTTTATCTGCGTACAGCTCTTCTCTTAAACCACACCCACACCCTGTTTTCATAATAATAAGACATTTCAAATCTTAATTTTGAAGATTGTGAAATATATTATTCTTATACCTTATTTGTTTGAGAATTGAAAGAATTCTGTAATCTTTCAAATTGTTGTAGAAAATCAGCTTGTGTTTTTGTTTTATTTGGATAATTTGTCGATTTAATATTTGTTATGACTGAATCTGTAGTTGTCGATTTAATTGGACGATTTTCACTAGTTATTATTGTAGATGATGCTGCAGGTGTTGTCGTTGTTGTATGCGCTGACTGGCCTGAAACTTCTACAAGTTTATGCGATACCGAATCAACAATAAGTAATGGATTTTTTTTTCGTTTTTCTGTAACTCCTGATGATACTGTTGGTACATATGGATTCTGTTGCTGCATACTTTGTGCTATTGTAGGCTGAGATACTGATACAGTTGGTTGTTCAATCTATATA